ACTATCTCCGCAGCTGCACTAGCCTCAGCCGCCACAGTCTCCACGGTCTCTGCAGCCTCCATCATCTCTGTAGCCTCAGCCTTCTCCGCAGCTGCCGCAGCCGCAGTAGCCTCAGCTTTCTCCTTCTCTGCAGCTGCCGCAGGCTCCGCCTCAGCCTTCTCTGCAGCCTCAGCCTCAGCCTTCTCCTTCTCTACAGCTGCTGCAGCCGCAGCAACCTCAGCCTCAGCCTTCTCCTTCTCCAAAGCTGCCGCAGCCTCCGCCTCAGCCTTCTCTGCAGGCTCCTTCTCCGCATTCTCCTTCTCTTCAGCCGCGGCTCTCTTTGCCTTCTCCTTCTCTTCAGCTGCGGCTCTCCCTGCCATCCCCCTCTCTACAGCCGCAGCAGCCTCCGTCATCTCCCTCTCTTCAGCCGTTTTCTTTGTGACATAAAAAAAAAAAGAGTCAAATAAACTTCAATATTCAAAACAAAAAGAATTTTCAAAAATTGTTTCTTACCGAAATCATTATATCCACTATACTCAAAATCTGGAGGATTTCTTTGCTCTTCCACGAAGCTCTCCACAGCTACCAACCTTGTATCCAAACCCTGAATCTTGTCTTTAATTTCCTTGAACCCTTCTTCCATTAAGTTCATCATCCTTTTCATTTGCTCGGCTATTGGCTCAATCACAGCTGCAGGTTCTTGTTCAGCTGGATCACCTATTGCCGCACCTTCGTTTTGGACATCTTCTTCTTGGACATTTTCTTTTTCGACAACTCGGGATTGAACATCGGCCATGAAGACATCCTCCCACAGTATCTTCCCTTGTTGGCGGATTATAAACTTGTTCCACCCATCAACAATAGGGTCAGCTACATCTGAATCATCCTTCAGTTCAAAGTCCTGCCACTGTGTCTCTTCCATGACCCTCTCTATGAGATCTACTTCCTCACCCTCAGCAGTCAAAATACTAGTAATGTCCTGAAGTATAACGGAAAAATATTAAACCGATTTAGTATACGGCTGTCAAACTAGTACGACTAGTATGATTACTAGGCCAACTAGTACGATTACTAGGCCAACTACTGTCAAACTAATACGACTAGTACGAATACTAGGCCAACTACTGTCAAACTAGGCCAACTATTACGATTACTAGGTCAACTACTGTCAAACTAGTACGACTAGTACAAATACTACGCCAACTACTGTCAAACTAGGCCAACTACTGTCAAACTAGTACGATTACAATTGAACCCAACAAATATCTTTGTATAGCAAAAAGTAAAATACCTTTGTATCTCCAAGATGCTCATTTATTGAATCCAACGAATATCCAGTTGTATCAGTCTGCGTGAACTCCCATTTGCACATTCTTGGACAATCATCTTCTGCATTTGTTACTTTCACCCGAAATTGTGTCTTCGGGGTTGAAATACATTCAAACGCCAAAATCTGCACATATAATTAGACCAGTTAGACTAGTTGTACTATTTGGACTAGTTGTACTATTAAGGAAATACGACTTACTTCCAAAAGGTTAAGGAACCCAGGAAACGTCCAACTCGCTTTCTCTGGGATCGATCCTTTGAAATGCTTCCCCATATGATAAATCTCTTTGATGTTGTCATCAAAAGTAAACCGTCCCCACGGGAATGTCTCACACAGCTCGAGACTATCAACCATCCTCAGAATGAAAGGCTCTATGGTTACTACATGCTTTGATCTCCCTCTTATCACTGTCGCTAAGAAGTACATGACAGCCATCCTTAGCCGATTCCTAGTGTCATTATACCTCATCCCCTGAAGTGCTTTTAGCACAACTTCAGCTGTAACTTTTTCGTCTTTAAAATGGTTCTTAGCAAACCTCATGCCACCTAACTTCGGGTAATTGGCTGGGTACTCGTGGCAGTACAGTCCCGAGAGGAGAGCATGCTCTCTGATGGAGTATCTAATGGGCACTCCATTTACCACAAACCAAGCCTATCACCTTTCTTGTTGCATAAGTCTTCATGTGAAACAGGTGCTTGAACTGCGGGTGGTTCAGAAACCAACTCTTCTCATCCTCTTCTAATGTTAGAAATACTTCCTCCTTAAATTTGTGTTGCAAGCATTTGGTACTTAGCTTACATCCCTTTCGATATTCAGTGGGATTGAAGAAATATCCGAGAGGCCGCATTGGTTCTTCTACATCATCATCATCATCATCATCATCATGCTGCAAAAATAAGAAAACTGATTTAGTATACTACTGTCAAACTAGTACGACTAGTACGATTACTAGGCCAACTACTGTCAAACTAGTACGACTAGTTCGAATACTAGGCTAACCATTATGATTACTACGCCAACTAGTGTCAAACTAGTACGACTAGTACGATTAGTATGACTACAATCTAGTGCGACTAGTTGACCTACTCATACTACTCAGACTCGACATTTCATGCAATCCAATTATACTAGTTCAAATAATTACACTAGTTATAATAACCGTTCTAGTTAAACTAGTTGCACTACTCATACTAGTCGGACAAGTTGGACCCAATTATACAACAAATTTAGGGTTTACCAGTGGTGGTGGTGGTTGCGACGATGAATCGATTGCCGGTTCTGAAATCGAAGGCAGGCCGGTTGCCGGTTGCACCACCGGAGCCACAAAATTTTCTTCTTCTCCTTCAGTCACCGGAGGCAGACTTTCTTCTGCTGGTTCAGTCACCGGAGCCACCGGAGGCGGAGTACTGCACTTTGACTTTCGTGACTTCTTCTCTTTTTCTCGCGGTGCCTCCGGACGCTTCTCTCCTTTTCTTTTCTTCTTCGCCGGCGGATTTGAACTCGACGGCAGCGGATTTTCTTCTTCTCTTTCAGTCACCGGACCCGCCGGAGGCGGAGGCGGAGGCGGAGCACTAGAAGTTTCGTTTTGTTGATTTCGATTTCTTTTTCGGCTTCTTCTCTTTTCCTCGCGGTGCCGCAGGACGCTTCTCCGCCCCTGTTTTCTTCTTTGCCGGCGGATTTGAACTCGACGGCGGCGGCGGCGATGAAGTATGATCCAGCGAAGGCGTTCTCAACCGAAGCCCTTTCGTACGCGCCATGAGATCGATAAATTAGGGATTTGATCGGATTTTTGATCGGTGGTTTGGGTTCTCGGAGAAGATGAAAAGTGGAAATTGGTAGTTTCTCGGAGAAGATGAAAAGTTGTAAAAGTTAGCGGTTTGATCGAGCTTTCCAGTGACCAAAATTTTTGAACCGCGATGAGCTCTCTCATAGTATCCATGGTTACCCCATGATCACAGCCTGTAAAATAAATCTGCTGATCTATAAGGTGACCTGCTCTGATACCAAATGAAGAACCAAAGATACTTGAAAGTAAAAACGCAATTCGAATAGGGAAGAACTTGTAACCAAAGAACTCTTTTATTAGAAATCACTTAAACAATTCTTGCAAACTTGTTTAATCAGAATAACACACCCTTACAATGATCTCAATCGACCTGTAATGTGAAACTGACCAATTCCTAATCTACCCACACAGCAACAGCTGTGTTTACTACAAGAGCACATAAACTCTCTTTCAAGACAGAGTGTTCTAATCCCCTTTAGTGCTAACCCTAACACAAGGTCAAAGATCTTCTATTTATACTCGAACCATGCAGCGCCAGACTTCCCATTACTTGAGTATCTACCATATTCGCAAATCATCGAATATGGTAACTTCTACAACTTCCTTGATTCCCATGCATACCTTTGTCACAGTTCTTCTGCCTTCGCATTATATGTGTGTAACACACTTTCCCGCTGTTCCACTGTTCTTGAACTTACAGTGTGATCACGGTTATTCATTATATTTACTTGCATTTGATCTTTCAAGTTATATTTGCAGGAAAATGATTTGATGCTCCACAATCACGCATTAGATGGATATACACAATATCGGTTTTTACGAAACCGGTTAAAGGGCTGTATTTGTGAATGAATAAAATGTATTATGAATGAGATATTATTAGTTTGATTTATATCGCATTAGCTAGGAATGAGTAGTGTAGTAATAAGTCGGAATTACCCTTAATAAAAATATAAAATGCTCTAGCAAACCCAGTGGCATAGGAAGTAAATACCACAGTAGAGATTGGACATTTTTTAGTAATAATCCTCTTTTAATAGTTTAGATTGTTTTGATATGCACTTGCAGTAGTTTATTTAAATGAAACTTTGAATCTGTTAAATTTTTGGTATTGTTGCCAGATATTTAATAGCTGTCTACAAATTTTTAGTATTAAAAATATATCTAAGTTTTATTTTTTATTATTTTTGTTACTAATATTCTCGTGTATGTTTCAGGCGTATACCTAATCGAAAGCAATAAAAATAAAGAATTAATCAGACTAGATAATTAAGAGCTAGCATCCTGAAAAAAGACAAATAGAAAAGCAAACAAGCATATCAAAATGATCAAACCTTAGATCAGATAATCAAGAGCTACCACAGCTAATTTATCGCTATTATCTCTTGGATTTCTGAATTCTTTAGTGAGGTTTTCGTAGCTGTAATCTCTTAGATCTCTAAATTCAATCGCCCTAATCTGATTTTTTTTTCTCGGTAATAGATTTAGGATAATTTCATCTTTTTTACTATTAGATTGTAAGAATGAAGATGTCCACCCTATCATAGTAATTTTGTAAAATGGTACTTCCAAAATATTAGTTTTAAATTTTCCAATGTCCACCCTATCATAGTAATTTTGTAAAATGGTACTTCCAAAATATTAGTTTTAAAATTTCCAAATAAAAACTTCGGATACCAATTAAATGGGCTAAACCTTATTAATAGAGCCCATCAATAGCTAAATCAACCCACCCGACAGACGACCCGGATCGTTTTGATATCCAGGCAAGAGTTGGATTCGATGGAAGCTTTTGGCTTCTCTTCTGGCTTGAGGACAAAGAAAACCTCATTCTCCGATCCTCCTTAAAGCTCTCCTCAAGGAAGAAGAAAGAGGAAGCAGAAACAGTCGAAACAGGTCAACAAGATGAGTAGCATTGGAACTGGATACGATCTCTCCGTCACGACCTTCTCTCCCGATGGCCGTGTTTTCCAGATCGAGTACGCAGCAAAAGCTGTCGACAACAGTGGGTTAGTGTTACTTCTCTCGATTCTTTCTTCTGTCTTTTCTCCTAGATTGAATTTAGCTTTTGAACTTTGAGATTCGGATGTGGAAATATCGTCTTTCACGAAATTAGGGTTTTAAAGCTCGGCTTTCACATTTCTCTTTCGCAGAACTGTTGTTGGAATCAAGTGCAAGGACGGGATCGTAATGGTTTGATTCTCATCCTCCCTCTTCTATTTTTTTGTACTTACTTCGTCAGTTTCTTCAATTAGCGTAATAGTGGTTTTAGTCTCTCTTTCTCGGATTTGCTCGGAATTGGATCATACCTGGAACAATGAAAGATGAGACTTTTTATTTTACCTCCAAAATTGGTTTAAATGAAGTTTTTTTCATTCGTTCCTGCTGTGTCCATGTTTGTTATCAGTTCCTCGGTTCCTTTCCCTTTTCTACATTTTGAGAAACTTGTGTTACCTTTGGGTTTCGGAAGTTTAAACAGTTTTGATAAAGGAAAGGCCTTTACTAAGTTATCTTTTGGTGGTTTTAGGGCGTGGAGAAGCTTATTGCATCAAAGATGATGCTACCTGGTTCCAACCGGAGAATCCATTCTGTTCATCGTCACGCCGGCATGGTATGCACCTAACCTATAGGAAATTAGCTTCTCTTCTCTTATCACAGTGCATTATCTTTACTTTATTCTGAGCATTACTTACTCCTCCTGTCATGTCAGGCTGTTGCTGGTCTTGCAGCTGATGGGAGACAAATTGTTGCACGGGCTAAATCTGAAGCGAGAAGTTATGAGAGGTATCAATGAAAGCTTGACATTGACCTTATTAGCTTCTGCTGTTAAAGTTGCATCTTAGATTTATAACTATGAAAGGATTGTGCTACTACTATAACTTCTCTCAACGGGAAATTTCCCTTAGTTAATTTAAGAATTCTTTCTTCTGCGCATATTAGATCGATATCTAATTATATGGGCATAAGATGCCAATGTGTATGTTCTCTTTGCTTCCTGCATCACTTTGCAGAATTCAACTTTTCTCGATTGTGCAACTAACTTATCTTTCACTTGTGAGGATATAGTGTTTATGGTGATGCTGTACCTGTGAAGGAACTTTCAGAGCGTGTTGCAAGTTATGTACATTTATGTACCTTGTACTGGTGGCTCAGGTTTGTCCAATTCATCCACCTCTTTGATAATTGCATAAGCATCTCTCCTACATTGAATGAATTATAAGAGATTGATTTTTATTTTTGAAGGCCTTTTGGCTGTGGGGTCATTCTTGGAGGTTATGATAAAGATGGACCCCAATTGTACATGATTGAGCCATCGGGCATATCATACGTAAGTCGTTGTTTTTTTCTGCTCGTCAATGTCATTTTGAATAGATAAAGTGTCGTTACAAATAGAGATGTGTATTTACGTCTGTTGTCTTATGGATTCTTTTCCTGCAGAGATATTTTGGTGCGGCCATTGGAAAAGGAAAACAAGCTGCTAAAACGTAAGTTACAGTTGGTATAATCCTAGAATGCTATACTGCTCTCTTAGTTCCACTAGGATTGATCAATCTAACTAGCCCGAAGCAAATTCTAACAAGCTTCACAATTAGTTAGACAAGTAAATAAAGAAAATATGAAGGATCAGTGTAGCTTTTATGTTTGACGGGATTGATGATTCTAGTTCATTGAATGAATGGAGTAAAAACTTTACAACAAATGTTTTTCGCTGTATTTGACCTGTGGAAAGTTTTTTCAACTAAAGGCGTTATCTATGTACAAGTGTTTTGATGGATCAAGATTTCTTGCAGGGAAATTGAGAAGTTGAAATTATCTGAGATGACATGCAAAGAAGGCGTTATTGAGGTGGCAAAAATGTGAGTAGTGCTTGCTTCTCGTGTACTCTTGTGGTTCTATTCTATAGTAAGGGAGCTTAAAGACTGATGATTTGTATGCAATCTTGTGCTTCATTTGCAGCATTTACAAGCTACACGATGAAGCGAAGGACAAGGCCTTTGAATTGGAGATGAGTTGGATATGTGAGGAATCAAAACGAGAGCATCAGAAGGTAAACAATCTTATAAACGCTGCTTATTGATGAGTTTAAAGAAATGTTCATGAACCGTATAAATTGGATTCATCGTAGGTCCCTGATGATCTTTTGGAAGAAGCAAAGACGGCAGCTAAAACTGCCCTTGAGGAAATAGATGCTGACTAAACTAAGGAAGTGTGTTAAATTAGATCTGTCCAATGCATCGTTTGGTGTTTCTTTTGTAAACTTTGAATGTTTTTCAATTGAATTTTGTCTCGAGGGACAGTTGTTGGATTATCTCATGAACTTTTGGACTCTTTTTTTAATCTTATTGATCTATCAACAGTTGCCTTAGTAACTCTCGAGGGGCAAGATATGGTTGTTTCTCGTGAACCGCCCTTTTGGATTTTAATTCATTGAGGTTGAAAATTTGAATTAGCAATGTTATTTAGCTAACACGTTGATTTCAGTGACCAGATGAGATTTTCGAACAAAGTTTCATTTGTCAGTTGAGTAGATAATGAACCGGTGAACATTGGTGAGTGGTAAAGCCATTCCGCAAAAAATTTGCAATTTAACAAAATTTGCAGATAAAACACAAAAACATAATATTTTCAATTTTGTTTTTATCACTGATTTATTAATCTATTGCAAATTATAAGAACTGTTACATCGACGATTCTATAACGATCAACTCTACTGTATCTTATGAAGATTCATGATTAACAGCTTTACCTCTATCCTGCACTACCATCATATGAAGATCTACACCTGACGAATCTGCTTGTACTACGCTGAAGATTTCTTGTAAACTTGCCTCCATTAATTTGCATCATTCTTCATTAATATACATAATTAAGAATAAAGAACGCTATGTGGTATTTGAAACTCATACCTCGAGGTGTAGAAGTATTAATAAACCCTTATTAAACCATTGGGCTAAGGGGGCTTCCACAATTATGTTTTTATTTACAAAAATAAAAAGAAATTTTTATTAAGCAGAAAATTGTGTTTTAGATTATTTGGAGAATCAATGTTTTATATTATTTATAACTAATTATTTTTTATTATTTAAATAAATAAATAAATGATTATGTATTACAAAAAATATTTAATGATAAAATGATGTCTATTATTTACGTTTTGCAATATTTTAGAATATTATGTCTTTTTTATTTTGAAAACAAAAAATATTTAATAATAAAATTATGTCTTATTATTTACGTTTTGCAATATTTTAGAATATTATATACTTCTTATTTTGAAAAACACAAAAATAATTATATTAAAAAATTAAGTCTTTCTAGTTATACAAAATTATGTCATTTTATAATATTTAATCTAATTATTAATATTTCAATTGTTATGATAATAAAATTGTTTTTTAAATAATTATATTCCACCATTTTTCCATTCTGCATAATTTATCCAATCGTATTAGAAAAATATATTCTGTAATTCTGCATCTTCTTCTGCCATTCTGCAATTGTTTTTGTGCTATTCTGCAGTTTTAATATGTTACCAATCTAAGCCATTATCATAGGTACGTCTCTCTAAGATTTATCATGTATAGCTAATTCAGTCAAATTTCAGTGAACAATTGAAATAAAGGAAAAAAATAAGAATCCAAACATGGGAAATTTTATATATTAGAAATTGATCTGCGTATTTTACGGATTTATCTATTGATTCATATTATTATTATATTTTTATATTTTTTTTTGTTTTTTTTTGCTTATCTATTTTACATATTGTTTTAATTTTTTATTATCGTAAAATATGTAAACTAATTGTGGGATATTTTTTATATAAATTATGATCTGTTAATTTTTTTTTTAAATTCTCTTATAGTTATACATTGTCGTAAGTATATATGTTTTCATATTAAATATTTTTATTTAATTAAGTTTTTATGTGGTTTATTTCCAGAGAAATCAATAAAATGATTTCACAATCGCTATCACACAATCTTCTTATTTTTTTATTTCATATAGATTTTTATTTTGTAGGGAATTTGTAGGTTTGTGATTTCTAGAATAAGGAGGGTGTATTGGATTAAGAATTTCAGAAGATTTGGTGGTTGTTTTAAAAATTTATGTTATTGAATTAATGATTTCTAAATGTCTCACCAAAATTGATGTTATTGAACATGAAATTTATGTAAAGTAACTAAAATCATTTAAAAATCCATGTTATTCAATCAACAATTTATAAAAACTAAATCAAATCCACTGTTATTGGAAATATTTTAAATAGTAGATTTTGAAATATATTGAGTACTTTTAAATGATTTGGTGGAGTTTGTTAGTTAAAAATATAGAAACCCAAATTTCATTGTTTTAGGTGGGATTTCATATAATTTTAATATCAAATCATACTAACTTTCCCAATACATATAATATCTTCTAAAATTTCATTAAAACTCAAATCTTTTCAATTTCTCTAAAATTTTATTTTCAATACACCCCCCTAAGTATATATTTTTTTACACTACTGTCATGTGGAAACCCAATTTATAGTCTCTCTTCAGTATAATTTAAAGTCATTCGGTTGTATATTATTTTTTGTTAGAGTATATACATTTTTTTATCGATAACATTGTTGATAAGTTTTGATGTATATTTTTTTTTAATAGATTTTCGTAAGTTTTCTTTGAGTTTTTTTGTGTGAATGTTTTTCTTTCTTGATTATTTTCACTGGTTTTCCAAATACGTTTCCATAATTTATTTGATCTTTCTTAAATTAGTATTATAAATTATTATTTTGTATAAATTTACAGATTTTTGGTTTGTAATTTTTTTTCTACTTTTAAATTAATGTAATACAAAGGCTCAAGAAAAATGTAAACCCATAATTTAAAAAAGTCCATAAAAGTAAATGAAAATGCTGATGTGCACACACTCTAGATGGAGAGAAACTCCCCTAATTATATATTTGATTTTATTTTTAAACTAATATCATGTAGAAATCCAATTTATAGTCTCTTTTTAGTATAATTTAAAGCCATCCGGGTGTATATTCTTTTTCGTCAAAGTATATACATTTATTTTTATAGATAATATTGTTTATAGGTTTTGATGTTTATCTATTTTTTATAAATTTTAGTGAGTTTTCTTTGATCTTTTGTGTGATCTTTTTCTTTCTTGACTTTTGTATATGTTTTTCAAATATATTTCCATATTTATTTGGGGAAATTGCTGAATATGACTCAAAACTTGCATTGAAATGCAAAAGTAGACCTCCTATTGCATGTTTGACAAAAATAACTCACAAAAGTAGTAAAATTACAACTTTAACCTTTATGACTAAACAAAAAAAATGCCAACCTCAATTACTATTTTATCCCAAAGAAGTCTACTCGAGAAGTTAAATATACTTTTTACACCTATTAATTTGATAATATGTTTACAATTAATTTTCAAAAATCATAAAAAATATTTTGATAAAAAAATTAGATACATAACACAAATATATACTTTTACACCTATTAAAAATAAATTTTGACACAAAATAATCAATTTAAATCATCATAGATAAATTAGGATAAAAATTAATACTAAATAGAGTAGACTTCTTGGAGAAGTCTACTCTCTAATAATTTCTTTACCATTAATTAAAAAATCATGAAAAACAATTTGGTAAAACAATTATATACATAACAAAAACATATATTTTTTACACCTATTAAAAATAAAATTTTATAAAAAATAATTAATTTAAATCATCATAAATTGAAAAGAGAGGGAGGGAGGGAGGGGGAGGCCCAGGGAGGGAGGGAGGGAGGGGAAGAGAAAGGGGAGAGAGGAGAGAGAGGAGGGAGAGGGAAATAGGTAGAGGAGAATTGAAAAGAGAGGACATAGAGAACGAGAGGAATAATAGAGAGTGATAGAGGTAGAAAGAAAGGAGAGAGATTGCATATGCAAGGTTATTGTCTAGGTTATCTATATCTGATTCTCCGTTTTCACTCAAATTTTTTTCTAATTATTGTTCTTGGTGGCAGTGGTGTTCGTCTCAATTGTAAGTTGTCTTATGCGATGGCGGATAAGATTTGTGCTGATGGGATGAACTGTTCTAACGACGTGGTGATTTGTGTAATTAGATGGGATATCATCGATATTCATTAAGGTATTGTTATTTGTGTTATATTATTATATACTGATTTTGTTTTAATGGCATTATCGCAATTAATTTAGTTTTATAACTTTGGGATAAGAATGTTACCATTTCATCTACGCTTCATATCCAGTTCATACTGAATCCTATGGTTGATGAGGTCAATGATTTCAGGTCGAGGTTAATTTTAGTGATTTACCCTTGGAGTGTGTTAATCAAAATATATGCGTTATTCGCACTCTGACTCTTTTATTTGAATATATATGCATTGTTCATTACACGTTGCGACCATTTGATGAGTTATTGTTTGTCTGTATTGTAGTTTACCGAAAAAAAATAATTGACAAAATAAAAATAAAAAAGAGAAAAAGTCTGAAGAGATGACAAATATGATGGAGAGAAAGAATAATTCATAGAAGAAGAAGAAAACTGAAAGTAGAAAAATGAATGAGTCTAAAAATTCTAAAAATACATTAAAAGAAATATTAAATCTACTGAGATATTTATTAGTAGAGAGTATTTAATTTCAACCTTTTTATATACTAGATATATAACTCGCGCTACGTGCGAGTCTGTATTAATATTTTGATTTATTTTTTTTAGCTACTATTTTTAAAATTATTAAAAATTATATATATTTATAAAAAATTCATTTATATAAGAGAATTTAATATATAATGTGTAATTTATCCTATTTTATTAATACATTTTAAAAAACTATTAGGTAAAATAATAACAATGACACCTATTGAATTATCCAACTTTGACGTACATATATTTTGATTTAGAGAAATTTAATCTTGCTAAGATTTTGGTATTATTTTTTGTTTTCCATATAATTTCTATAGTTCTTTTTTTCTTGAAGCTTTATGTGTTCAAATATTTAGTTTTTTATTGAAAGTTTTATTGATGTTGTGTACCACTGTATATATAATCCATGATTCATGTTGATTCACATTTAATTTTGTTAGAAAGCTGTAATGATTATGCAAAACCATTTTTTTCTTTCTCTATCATGTCTTCTAAGAGTTTTATGTTATATTTCTATTCAGTTTTCATTATTTTAATTGTTA